CCCCTTGGGCGCCCATGCCGAAGCTCTGCAGGCGGGGCTGGTCATCGAAGTGGCCGTGCATGGACCGAAGGGCCGAAGAGGCAAGGATGCAAAGGTACCCTTGGGAGGATTCACCATCCTTCTCATCGGTTTCGACTGTAAGCTCACCTTGTTCGTATCGTGAGTAGCGCAGATCAGACTTGCTCTTGTTTAGCCTCCGAACGGCCCTGGCGGGGCTCTGGGTGACACTCCACGTATCCGCCACCGTGCCTGCACGATGCGGGCGTATGTCAATGCCGAATGCTGCCTGGTAGCGTCTCTGTATTCCAACAAAAGCTCCCCCTACCCCCCCGCAAACCAGAATGAGCCGTGCACCCCCCGATCTCGAAGCCACGATACCCAATAACAAACTATGGATCCGCGCTCCCGAAGCCACGATCCCTGGTTCAGAACTACACATCCGCGTCCCGAGCTTCCAAGACGGCCCATGTAAGCAACCGAGGGCACCAAAATGGCCCGAGACGCCTCGGATACTGACCCAGATCCCCCAATGTGGCCGAATGTGGCCCCGAGGCGGCCCAATTGCCTCCAAGAAAGGCACCAAACGCTGAACGAGACGATGCCCGACGACACCGAAACCGTTGACCTCCCCCGAAACCGTTGACCTCCCCTTAGATATTCTCTGTTTTAAAGCAAGTGTTCGTATTCTCATGTTCGGGCTTCCGTCAGCCCACGACGGCCCAATTCGCCTCCACGATGGCCCCAAGATGCCTCCTACGAAGGCCAAATATGGCAAAAGATGACTCCACGAGGGCCCAAGAGGCATCCACGACGGCCCAAGAGAGAGGGCCTCCCATGGGACACCAGACGGCCTTAGACGGCCCTTCGACTGCCCAAGACGGCCTCCAAACACCATCAGACGGCCAAGAGGACCCCAAAACGGCCTCAGGGGTGCAGCCGCAGCCTAAGCGCCCCCCAAGACGGCCCAAGAGGGCCCCCAAGACGGCCTGACAAGAGGTCAAGACAGCCCCGAGACGGCCCACACGAGTTTCATGAGAGCTCCCCAAATAGTGAAGACCACAAGTATCACATGTGACGGTCGTCATCTTCCTCTTGATCTTATTCCTTATCATTATCATCCTCGTCCTCGTCTCGCCCTCATCCTCACTATCGTCATCGTCATCGTCGTCTACGTCGTCATCACCATCACCATCACCATAACCATAAGCACCACCACCACCACCATCATCATCATCATCATCACCACCACCACCACCACCACCACCATCATCATCATCATCATCATCATCGTCACCATCAACACTGTCATCACCAGCAGCAACAACAGCCGCAACATCACCACCACCATCACCATCACCATCACCACCACCATCACCACCACAATCACCATCACGATCATGATCATCATCATAATCCTCAGCATCAGCATCATCATCACAATCATCCTCGTCAGCATCAGCACCATCATCGCAGTCACCGTCGTCATAATCATCACCATCGCCATCACCACCATCACCATCACTATCACCATCATCATCATTATCATTATCAGCAACACCATAACCACCACCATCATTATCACAATCACCATCACAAGCATCACAATCACCATCACCACCACCATCACCATCATCATCATCATCATCATCATCATCATCATCATCAGCATCAACATCATTATCGCCATCATCATCACAATCCTCACCATCGCCGTCTCCATCACCATCACCACCACCATCACCATCATCACCATCATCCTCACCATCACCATCATCTTCATATTCATCATCACCACCAGCACTTCTTCATCATCGCCATCATCACCATCAAGATCATCATCATCATTACCGTCGTCCCCGTCATCATCCTCATCCTCAACGTCAACCTCATCTTCATCCTCATCCTCCTCCTCCTCGTCATCAGCGTCGTCGTCATCGCACCGTCATCGTCATCACCACTACCATCACCAACATTATCATCATCACCATCATCAACTCACCATATCCATCACCATCACCGTCACCATCACCATCACTAATTATCACCAACATTATCACCATCATCCTCATCCTCATTCCTCCTCCTGCTCCCCCTGCTCCTCCTCCTCCTCCTCCTCCTCCTCATCACGGCTTCTCCAAGCATGGGAACACGAAACACTCGTCGCCAACTCCATGGCTCGGGGGAGGTGCCCTCCCCAAAATGCAGCTGGTGCCGCCTCGCACCGCGGCGGAAATCCGCGATTTCCCGTGGAAACAGGTCCCGTCGCTAATCCACGCCTCCTTGATGCATGTTTGCGATCTCCTGAACCCCGCGGCCCGGCGGGCTGGGCCCTCATTGTGGGATTCCTGCCCTTGGGGCTGTCCCCAGGTTCGAGGCTTATGGCTTTCTGGCAGAATCTCGAAGCTCTTCTAACCCGGGATGTTTTCCAGCGGCTGCGCCTCGCCCGGGGACATCCCGAGGGTGCTCGAGTCGTCCCGGACGGCCGCCAGAGACCCGATGTATGATCAAAAAGCCAGACTCCCTCGTCGCTCTTGGAATCCCCAGGATTCCGACGGATTTCCTGACACTCTCTGCAATCCTGGAGTGATTGCAATGATTCTTCGACAATCCTGAGGATTCCCAGAAAAGAATCCTTTCGGATTTCCCAAACACCCCAAACATCTGGCCAATCATCCGCAAGGTTTCCTCAACCCATCTACAATCTTGTCAGTAACCCCAAAACATTCCCGAAAAGAGTGATCAATTCCAGGAGCCCTGGTCGGAATCTCAGCAAGGGTTCCCTCAACAGCCCGCAGGAATATCGAAGGTGCCCGGCGGAGACCTGCTTCTTCAGCTAGGTCAGGCATATCCCCTACAGGCGGATTTCGGTAGAAGCATAACGAATAGTTCAACATCGAAAACACTTCTCATACATAAGAAACGGATCGTCATCATATTGTTTTGAATACTCCTCCTGTAGAGGGACGTGCCCGAATCCACTCTTCTTTTGCGTTTGCGGCTGGGCAGAGGTTACTGCTCCGGCGATCGGGCATCAGTGGGGCGCGCCAGGTGCAAATTGGGCCAAGCTTCATTCCTCAGGCATCCCACGGGTATCCTGACAAACCCGCTCGGGTGTCACAGCGCGCTTTCCGCGGTGGACTTCGCTCGGCAGTGGACCTCTTCCTGGGCTGCAGGCCTCGGCGCCTCCTCCTCCTCCTCCTCCTCCTCCTCGTCCTCCTCCCCCGCCTCCTCCTCCTCCTCCCCCGCCTCCTCCTCCTCCTCCCCATCCTCCTCCTCCTCGTCCTCCTCCTCCTCCTCACCTCCTCCTCACCCTCCTCCTCCTCCTCCTCCTCCTCCTCCTCCTCCTCCTCCTCCTCCTCCTCCCCCTTCTCCTCCCCCTCCTCCTCTTCCTCCTCCTCCTCCTTCTCCCTTGTCGATGCGAAAAGCAGCTTCGCCGTGTGAGCCTCCCGCTCGCCCCCCCCGCGCCCGCAGTGCCCCGTCGCGCAGCGAGGCGCCGCTCCCATCGCGGAGGCAGTGCCCAGTCGCGCAGCGAGGAGCCTCCTCCTCCTCCTCCTCCTCCTCCTCCTCCTGCTCCTCCTTCCTCCGCCGCCGCCGCCGCCGCCGCTGCCTCCTCCTCCTCCTCCTCCTCCTCCTCCCCTCCTCCTCCTCCTCTCCTCCTCCTCCTCCTCCCCTCCTCTCCTCCTCCTCCTCCTCCTCCTCCTCCTCCTCCCTCCTCCTCCCCTCCTCCTCCTCCCCCTCCTCCTGCTCCTTCTCCATTCCTTTTCCTTACGAATAACTTCTCCCTGTCGCACCCCGAAGCCAGTTTTTGGGGCGGCCCGGGCGTTTCGCCTGAGACCTTCTCACCATGTATGATGACTCTGAAGTTTAAACATTGACAGGATTTTCACAGATAGAGGGCTGGTGACTTTCAAAATGTGGCTCTCGCCTTGGCGCGGCGCACATTCGTTTTAACCATTTGCCAGAGTTTGACGGATTGAGGGCGGGTCGTTTTCAAAATGTGGCTCTCGCCTTAGCGCGGCGCACATTCTTTCTTACACAGGTGCAACAGTTTCACATATTGAGGGCGGGTCGTTTTCAAAATGTGGCTCTCGCCTAAGCGCGGCGCACGTATTTCTTTAGAATTTCACGGATTGAACGGGGCTCTTTTCAAAATGTGGCTCTCGCCTTAGCGCCGCGCACATTCGCTTACAACATGTCCAAGAATTTCACGGATCCCCATCATCAACGTACCAAAAAAGGTGTTGAAAAGAACCAGGATTATACGGGCGCAACAATTACGTTGATTCGTTGTGTTGACGTCCCAGGAATAACGTTCCGGCACAATTCAAGATCGTCAAGACGCAACAATCAGGTTCATCCGTGGCGTTGGAATCCCGAGAACAATGTTTTGGCATGCTTCAGGGTCTTCAAACGGTTCTCTTCAAACGAGGCAGTTCCCTCAATGGAACTGAGCCGTTGTAGGGGCCTATGCAGAGGGAGCTTGGAGGGAGGGTGTCTTCCAACATCGTTGATGACTCTTGGGTTTACACAGGTCCTCCTCCTCCTCCCCTCCCCTCCTCTTCTTCCTCCTCCTCCTCCTTCTCCTGAACCTCCTCCTCCTCCTCCTCCCGACCTACCTCCCCGAACACCTCCACAAACATCAAGGCCCTACAGACATATCCGAACACCTCCGCTCCACCCAACTTCGCGCATCGCGCCGCCCCCGCGAGGAAGGGCGGCCGTCCCTGACGGGACAGCGAGGTGCGATCCTCTTCGCGCTCCCGGGGCGACCCAACGAATAGATCCACAAGCCGTCCAGAACCTTCTCTTGTCCATCCCTCCGCCCCCCTCCTCCACTGGCCATCGCTCGGACGTCCATTCCCTGTGCTTTTGCCGGTTTCGTGCGTGTTCTTTCGCCAAATGATCAAGGATGCTCGTCGATGGTCCTCGCCGAAAGAACAACGTACACGTCCGAGCGATGCCACGTCCATGCCCCTCTCGGTGGCAGGCGGCCGCGGCGCCCTTTCAGTACCCACGTCGTCGTGCACAGGCGGTCTATGTCGGCTTCGCCAGAGGCCTCCAGGGAACGCATAATCTCCTCCAGCCAAGGGAGGAAGAGAGAAGGAGCACACACGCACACACGCACACACACACCCACACACACACAACGTGTTTATGATTGCGGCAATGGGTCCTGGGACGTTGGGCCCTCCTCCTCCTGCTTCCCACGCTTCCTCCTTCTCGACCTCCTCCCCCCCCTCCCCCACCTCCCTCTCCCCCTCCTCGGCTCAACTCGAAGCAACTATTCGGCCAGCGAAGACTTTGGGGCCAACGCTTCGGGCAGACGCGGGCGGAGACGCGCTTTCCCAGGACAGCCCCCTCGTCCCTCTCCCCGCTTCCCCCCCCACGCGCTTCTCCAACTCATCCTCCTCGTCCTCCTCCTTCTCCCCCTCCCGCCCCTCCCCCTCGTCCCTCACCCCCGCTCCCCTTCCTGCCTCCTACCCCACCCCACCCACCTGCTCCGCCTTCCGCACTCACTCGGCATGAGCACTAGCACTGCTCTCTCCTCTCTCCCCCGAGAACGTGCCGAGAGTCGCACGCCCCCTCTGCGCACTGCGCATTACACGCAGAACTGTTCCGACACACGCGCACGCACAACCCACACACATACACACACACACACGCAGATTTTTTGCGTCGGCGGCTAGGCAGGAAGGATAAGGCGTCGTAGGCCGCGATGCACGAGGGGGGGAGGAGGACGTCCGGCGGTGACGGCAGGGGAACACACACGTGTATGCGTGCACATATCTCTCTCTATATCTATATATATATATATATATATATATATATACATATACACATGTCTACATCGGGGCTGCGTACTGTTATCTATATACGTACATACACACAAAACCGCGTTGGCGCTCCGCGCCGTGCGCCCTCCGTCGAGTTTCGCATGCGCGGGATGGGATATTGAGAGCTAGAGGGAGAGAGAGAGAGAGAGAGAGAGTGAGAGAAGGACAGCTACATCACGTTCTCGTTTTCGTCTTAGCGCTGTCGTTCTCTGCCTCGTCATCCTTCTCCCTTTCTTCCGCTTTCCTTTTCTTCTCCTCGTTCTTGCCGACAAACTCTTCCCCGTCCCCATTTTTGGTTGGCGGGCCCGTCAAGTTTTTTTGTCGGAGGCCCCTCCTTGAGGGTGTTCTTGCGGGCCATTCGAAAGCTTCTTGGGGCTTGCTGGGGACCTCCTGAACGTCTGTTGGGGTCTCTGCGGGCGTCTTGGTGCCATCCATGATACTGCCCTTCGTGGTTTCCTTCCACAACGGCCGGGTCCCGATTTGGAATGCTTTGGGGGATAACGTGGGGTCATCTTAGGCCGTCTTGATTTTTTTCGGGGGGGGCATCTTGGAATCTGTTGGGGTGTATTGGGGCTCTCTTCAACCGTCTTGAAGCCTTTTTGGTCAGTCTTGGGGCGATCTTGGCGGCTTCTCGGGCGCCCAGAAGACAGAAGAAACGAGCATCTGACAATTCGAAATGCAATCAGAACAACCATCAGGCAATCCATTATCTTGCTCCTTTGCTGTTTTGCTTCGAGAGCCTCTGAAGGGGGTGTTCTTTCGGCCGTCTTTGGGTGTCTGGTGGTTGTGTGGGGCCGCTTGGAGCTCTCGTGGGTCCGTTTGGGCGTCCCGCCAGACCTGCTGGCCAGGCCTGACAGGAACGTCCAGGAGACGCAGAACTCCCTCTGCAGGGGCGTCTGGGAAGCCCCCGGGACAAGGGATCCGGAGGGTCCCGTTTCAAAGGGGGGGGGGGCGGGGTCGCAGGGTTAGGACCGATATGCATATATCTATAAAACACACACGCACTCATATACACACATACGCATGTATACATACGTATATACACGTTTATGTATATACATGTCTGTCTGTCTGTCTCTGTCTGTCTCTGTCTGTCTGTCTGTCTGTCTGTCTGTCTCTGTCTCTGATGTTTGTATGTATGTATGTATGTATGTATGTATGTATGTATGTATGTACGTACGTCCGTATGTATGTATGTATGCGCGTGTCTGTATGTATGGCTGCGAGGGTTAGGTTGCAGTACCAAAACCATTTGGTTACCCTCGCCGAATCGGGTGCTCTGAATTCCTGCAGGGCCGCGGGACACGTCAAAGTACATGAGATCCGCGCTCTCGACGCAATAACCCCTCACAACTTACCTGTATTCGCGCCCCCGAAGCCACGATCCTTTGCAAATCGCCCCGCATTCGCGAACCCGAAGCCACGATCCTTTGTAACATACGCAGTATTCGCGCCCCCGAAGCCACGATCTCCAGCAATTTGCACTACATCAGCGCTCCCGACGCCACGATCCTTTCTAAATTACGCCACGCTCGCGTCCCCGAAGCCGCGATCCTTCGCAACTTGCACCGCGCTCGCGTCCCCGAAGCCAAGGTCCCTGGTAAAATACACCATCTTCGCGCCCCCGAGGCCACGATCTCCCGTGGATTGCGCCACATGCTGCGCCTCTGAGGCCACGATCCACCGTACGTTGCGCCACAGTTGCGCCCCCAAGGCAACGATCCCTCGCACATCATACAATACCCACGTCCCCGAGTCCCCGAGGCCAGCAACCCTTGCAAATCATACAATTCTTGCGTCCCGGAAGCAAGAAACCATTGTAAACTACAGTGTTCGCGTCCCCGAAGCCATTGACACTTGCAAACTATTGAATTCTGGCGCCGCTTGCGCCATATTCGCGTCACCGTAGCCATAATCCTTCGTCAATTACGCAATATTCGCGTCCCTGACGCCACAAACCCTTGCACATTGCTCAACAGTCGCGTCCCCGAAGCCAGAACCCTTCAATAAGTTACTGCATATTCGCGCCCCCGAGGCAACACACTCTCGCAAATGGCTCAATTCTTGCGTCCCCGAGACAACACACTCTTGTACATTATTGAATATTCGCGTCCACGTGGCGATAAACTCTAAACCAATCGGCCATATGCCGAGGCCAAGAAGGCTCCACGGCGCCCGGATCTGATTCCAAGACTGCCAAAGAGGCCCCAAGCGGCCCCAAAAAGCGCTCCAAGAGGCCTCCCGAGAGAGCCCCAAGAAACCAACATCGTCGATTTTACAACATGTTTGAAAGAATTTGGGGTTCTCGCATTTTCGGCTTTCCGACGCTCCAAGATGGCTCAAAAAGCGCCCAAGACCGCGAAGACGCCTCCAAGAGGGCCCCAAGACGGCCCGAGAGGGCTCCAAGATGGCCCAAGAAGCGTTCCGAGAAGCCCTCAGGAGGCCTCAAGAGGCGCCCAAGACGCGCCCAAGAGGCCTCCAAGAGGCCCAAACGATACCTCACGAGGCCCCAAAAGGCCCCCAAGAGGCGCCGAAACCGCCTCCAAGAGGCCCCCGAGAAGCTCCCCATGACACCCCAACACATCTACAAGAGGCCTCAGAACTACAACCCAGACGTGGTGGTGGGATGGGCCGAAGGCCACTATGATAACGCCAACGTCTCAATATGCGCTGATGGTTCCTATCCGCCCCGCATGATGTTCCCAGATGCGCCAAGGCAGCGCCGAGACGCACCGACGCGACTCTGATATATCCCATTATGGTAGAGAGGGGGCGGCGGCAGGGGGCGAAGCCCTTACAGACATATACATCCATATATATATGTATATATATATATATTACACACAAGACTGCAGTGGTGCTTCGCGCCATGCACCTTGGTCCTTGAACTTTGGTATGCAGGCGGAATAGCAGGAAGATCAAGCCAACAATTTAGCGATGACTCCTTGTTGCCTTTTCCGGCATCGCCGCTGTAATAATGTTATTCGTTATCCTTCCTCCATGCTTATTGTTCCTTATGCTCGCCATACTCTGCGCATTCTCCACATCCTCCTCAGTTCTTTTTTGCGGAGGTTCCTCCTTGGAGAGCCTCTGGGGGCTTCCTGGGCGTATTCTGGGGGCCTCTGGGGGCTTCCTCGGGCCACCCTGCCTCCAACCGCGGTATCCCTGAACGACCGGGTCACGACTTGCAAAGCTTCAGGGGGTGTCTTGGGGCCATCTTGGGCCGCCATGGGGCTCTCTGAGGGCCATCTTGGACCCGTGTTGTGCCGTTTTGGGGCTCTCTTGGAATGCCTGGAAGCCCTTTCGGATGGTTGTGGGGCGAATTGGGAGCCTCCCAGGCGGCTTCGGACGCCCAGAGGACCGCCGTCTTGGAGCGTCGGGAAGCCGAAAAGAGGAGAACCCCAAAGTTCACCAAAAACCAAGAGAACATCAATTATTTTTGCCTCTTGGGGCCTTCTTGGGGGTGCTCTTGGAGGCCTCTTTGGGGCCGTCCTGGAGGCCTCTTGGGCCATCTTGAGGTCACGTCGGTCACTCTTGGAGCGCTCTTGTGCTGTCTTGGGGGTCTCTGGGTCCCCGATGACCCCCCTAATCGCCTAGGTGTGCTGGGAAGGCTTGGCAAAACGCCCTGCGAGGCCAGGGGGTCCGTTTCGAGGCCCGTCTGGAGGGTCCTAAAGCCCCAAATCCCGGGAATCCGTTTTTTTATTGGGGGGTCCCCCCCCGCCCGGGCTTGTAAAAACAAAGGAAGTTGGCTAGATGTATGTGTATATGTATGTGTGCATACATGCATGTATGTATGTGTGTATGTATGTATGTATGTACGTGTGTGTATGAATGCATATATGTACACATATGTGTATGTATCCATGCTTGTGTATGTGTATGTGCATGTGTATGCATACATGAATGCACGCATGCATGCAGGCATGTATGTATGTACGTACATACGTACGTGTGCACATACATATATATATGATATGTATGTGTGTATGTATGTATGTATGTATGTATGCATGCATGCATGCATGCACGTGCGTACGTACGTACGTACGTACATACGCGTGCATGTATGTATGTATGTATGTATGTATGTATGTATATATATGTATGTATGCATGTATGCATGCATGCATGCATGCATGCATGCATATATGTATGTATGTGTGTAGGCATGTACGCATGTATGTAGGCATGCGTGCATGCATGTGTGTATGTATGTATGCATGCCTGCATGGACGTA